AAGTATTTAATATTTCATCAATATAGTATATATGTTAGTAGAAAAATTCCACTTGGACAGGACTTTCTAAATGCAGTCATGATGTAGGGCTTTTCCTTCCAACAAAATGTTTTGTGCTCTCACCAGCAAAGTAGCTTTAAGTAATTAGATGAACCACATGCACAGAGTTCAGATGCTAAATTGACATCATAATCATAGTATCTGTAAGTAGGAACATAAGGTGTCCTCTTATTGATGACAGGATTTCTCTGGGCCATAAGAAAACTCTCAGTTGGTTCTGTCTACGATCACTGTCATACATATAGCTAAGACTATAAACTCCGTATAAAGTGAAATAATGAAGGGGACAAAATGGAAACAGAACCTATGAACCTCACTAACCCCATACTTTAATCATTTGTCCCAACAAGAGACAAGTGTCACAGAGAAACGTTAACAGATAAACCGGAATAAAGGTGCTACCTAGTTCCAGGCCTAATGCTACAAATACTAAAATTATTTCCAGATTTATACTATGAATTTTGATCTCTGTCTAGCAGAACACAACAAAGATAAAATCAATATATGGAAATGAGGTGCACTTTTTTTTTTTAAGATTTTATTTATTTATTCATGAGAGATACACAGAGAGAGAGAGAGAGGCAGAGACCCAGGCAGAGGGAGAAGCAGGCTCCATGCAGGAGCCCGAGATGGGACTCGAACCCGGGTCCTCAGGATCACACCCTGGGCTGCAGGCTGCGCTAAACCACTGAGCCACCAGGGCTGCCCAGTTGCACTTTCTTTTATCTACAATAATTTACTTTAAAATAGTATCTAGTCACCATATTTTTTTCAAAGATTTTATTTATTTATTCATGATAGAGAGAGAGAGAAAGAGGCAGAGACACAGGCAGAGGGAGAAGCAGGCTCTATGCAGGAAACCCGATGTGGGACTCGATTCTGGGACTCTGGGATCACACCCTGGGCCGAAGGCAGATGTTCAACCGCCAAGCCACGCAGGTGTCCCGTCACAGTATTTTTTTAAATGACAAAAAAATTCTGCTCAATCATAAACAGAGGACCATTTAATGTTCTTGGATAAGATCACCTAGTATTACATGGATGTCAATTCTCCCCAAAATAAATCTATATATTCAATGCATCCTCTATCAAAATTCTAGTTGTGTTGTTTTTAGAAACTCTAGCTCTAAAACATATAGAAAAGAGTAAAAATCTACAAATAGCTAAACCAATTATACTATAGTCTGGCAAACTGAATTTAAATTAAAAAAAAAAAAGGAAAAAATAGCTAAACCAACTTTGAAAATGGGCAAAGGATGGAGAACTTGCCCTACCAGATACTTAACGTAGCCACTGGGGGAGTGGGGGGGGCAAATTAAGACCACAATGAGATATCACTACACACCTAAAGAGCTAAAATAAAAATACAGTGATAATACCAAATGCTGGCAAGGATACAAAGAAACTCAATCTCTCATTGCTGGTGGGAATGTAAAATGATGCAGCCACTCTAGAAAACAGTTTGGCAGTTTCTTCACAAAGTAAACCTACGCTTATCATACCACCCAGCAATCCGGTTCCAAGGCATTTGTCCCAGAAAATGTGAAACTTTGTATCCACACATACACAAAAATTGTACAAGAATGTTCACTGCAGCTTTACTTGTAATAGCCAAAAACTAGAAACAGCCTAGCCTCAATGTCTCAGTGAATGGTTACACAAACTGCAGTATACATACACCATGGAATACTACCCAAATTATGCAACAATTTGGATGAATCTCAATCTCAAAAAAGTCATATGTTGTGTAATTCCATTTATATAGCACTCCTGTACAGATAGAATTCTAGAGATGGAAAACTGATTAGTGAGCAGAGGTTAGGGATTGAAGGGAGATGGATGTGACTAAAAAGGTATAGTAGGAAGGAGATCTTCACAATGATGGAACAGTTCTCTATCTTGACTGCAGTGATGATTACACGTATCTATCTACATAGATGCTAAAATGCCATGGTACTTTTTTGGTACTTTTTTGGTACTTTTGTACCAAAAGTCAATTTCTGGGTTTAGCTATTGCACTGCACCTAGTTGGATAAAACGTAACCATTGGAGGAAACTGGGTGACGTTATTAAAAATGTACCCCTCGTACCCCTTGGGGGAAACCAGGCCTCTCTGCAGATCTTTGCAACTTCCTGTGATCTATAATTATTTCAAACTCCAGCTAAAATAAAATGGGGAACACCAATAAAAAATAAATTTATTAAAAAAAAGAAAAAGAAAAAAATAAAATAAAATGGGAAGAATTATTCACACAGGGAAAAAATTAATACAAAGCCATTGTGTGAAACCCACATGGTATTAAAGCGAGAGCAAACAAATAAACCAAAGGAACAGAATACAGTGCTCAGAGTATGAGAACTTGATACACAATAAGTGTAGCATCTTACCTAAGGGGAAAGGAGAGAATGCCACTAGGAAAACGGGAACACTACATGGAAAATAAACTGAATCTCTTCCTTGTGACATATAAAAAGATTCTGGATACACTAAAGCCCTATACATTTCAAGGAAAACCATGAAGTTAGTAAAACACAAAAGTAACATTATGACATAGAATTTGAGGAAAGACTTCTTACAACCCCCAAAGCACAAACCATAAGGCAATTTTTTAATCTGACTGCATCAAAATTGAAGATCTCTGTTCAATGAAGCACATCATGAAAAATGTTACAGACAAATGGCAGAATAGAAACAGGGATACTTACATATTCAAAAGACTAGTATCTAGGAAATAGAAGACTTACTGCAGATCAAGCAGAAATGAAACCTCAAAAATGGGCAAAGGATGAACAGTTTTACAAGAGGGAAAACCAAAAAGATAAAATGTACATGAAGAAATGCTCAAACTCCTAATAGTGAAATGCCATTTAAAATGAGATTTTACTTTGTATCAATTAGTGTGGAAAAACTAGGACACTGGATAATACGAAGTAACAATGAAGATGCAAGGACACAGAAACCCCCCCAAGAACTGCCTGCAGGAGTACAGACCATAGCAATTTGTTCTAGAACACAATCTAGTAGTTCTTCAATAAAATATATGAACGCCCTATGATCCAGAAGTCACATTTCTGGATATATATCTCAAAGAAAGCATCACAGAGGTCTTGGAGGTATATTTGTTATACCTCATCTGTAGCAGTAGGAAAATAAAGGTAAAATGGGCATCCGCAAATAGGAGAGTAGATGGAAACCCATAACAGATATACTCTCTGAAACACTGTGCAGCAGTCAGATCTTTAAAACACGGTAGGGAGAGAAACAAAATTCAATATACAATATTATATAACATAGGTAGTATATAATATACAACATATAAAATACAGCCTATCTCTAAAAATAAAAAATGTGGGTACCCAAAACAATATACATTTAATAACACACAACACACACATAAAGGATACACATCACACATGTTAAAATGTTTTTTCCCATGTATTGATGATCAAAGGAATGGAGTGGGAATTGGAAATAAAACACAATGAATACAAAACAAAAAACAACAACAAAAACCAGGAAACACACCCTGAATGGCCAATAATGACCACTGAACTGAGGGAAAATTAATTCAATCCTCTTCACCTGAGGTCCAAAACAAACTTTAAGGACTCCCACCTAACACAGAGCACACTACTGAAGCTAAATGTTATCCTATCCTTATCGTGACAAAGGCAAAAAGTAGCTCAGTGCTTTTAAGGTTTTCAATGCTTAAGCCTGTTACGTAGATAAACCACCCCCACTTACTTTGCTTCAAAATAGAACTTATATCCAAGATCAAAACAGAAGGAAATTATAAGATACAAGACTTAACTATTTGAAATGTCAAGTGCCCACAATGATACTCAAGATAAAGCAAAGCCCAGTCCCTCTAATGTACCGAATCATCAACATATTTTGAGGTCGAGCTGCATACAGGTGGCAATAAGAAAAACTAACAGGCATGGCCTAGTTTTGTTGAGTAGAGCTCTGCAGTATTCTAAAAAATAAATAAATAAAGACAGATCTCTAAGCAAATAAACAAATTCTCAATAATAACCGCGGGTCAAAATTAAACGAGGCATTTTGCTATCTTTTTATATTTGTTGGGTTTCCCGGTTGGAAATGACTAAGATCTGTGCACGTCAATGCAAAAATCCAGGCGGCTTGGGCTTCGTCGAAAAAGGCATTTCAATTTTTTTGAATCTTTAAACTGCTCTCCACTCCACTGTCACCGGTAGCTCAGAGAACAAGAAACCTCACGGGCCAAGCCAAAAATGTCAAAGACCCCGATTTCTCTTATGTCCCCTGAGATCCTTGCCCATCTTATGCACAACGACCTGAGTAATAATAAGCATCCGAAAGGGTCGGACAGAGCCCGTGGCAAAAGGTCACCAGGTGAGCAGGCGGCCCCTGTCCCTGGATCCCCAAGCCCGCAGCATCCACACTGCCCAGGCTAAGATGCAACCGTACCTGACCAATAATTTCAGACTGTTGGAAACCAACAGATATTACTATTACCTAGGACCTGCAAAAAAAAAAAAAAAAAAAAAAAACGTGACAAGGCGAGTGAATGAAAACATAGAAGGATATTGTTAAATCCCGGGCAGGGCAGTGCGGGCTCCAAGCGGGCGCTTCCCGGGCGCGGGGGCCGCGAGGCGGGGGAGGAGCAGGTGTCCTTACCCAAGTCCTAGGGCCGCGGGGCGGCGGGGGCACCGCGCAGGTGAGGCTCCAGCACCTTAAGCAAGGGCGCAAACGGGAGGAGGAGGGTGCACAGGTAAGGAGAGGCTGCCCCCCGCCCCCCCCCCCAGCGCTGCCCCAACCACCCACTCATCACACACCACCTCGCTCCTTGGGCGAGCCCGTCTCCAGCCCAAAGCCGGGGTCACCTGAACCGAGGACCCGCGAGGACCCCCGGGCTGAACCCCGTGACCCCTGACCCCGCCGCGGGAGCCCCGCTCACCTGTCACAGCTTCATCTCAAGCCGCGATGCTGTCCGCGCCACCACCCGCGGGCGACCCGCCGAAGACGGAGCAGGCGAGGACGCACGGCGCGGACGACCCGCCGTGCTCCAATCCCCGGCGGGCGAACCCCTGGGGCGACCGCCCCCCCACCCCCGCGAGCCCGGCCGGCGGCGTCTCCCCGGCGAGGCTGCTTCAAGGTGCCGTTGCCGCCGCGGCAGTAAATCAGCTGACACCCGACTGCCGTGACTTCCGCGGCAACTGTCGCAAAAACGAGGGGGCGGGAAATGAGCCCCGTGGCCAGACTCGCCGGGCCTCGGCTAGGAGCCGGGGAAGCCAGCCGCGTTACCAAGGAGACCGATCGCAGGCGAGGGTGTCGACTGTGGGCAAAGAGCGCGCGGTCGCCATCTTTTTTGTGGGAAACGCGGTCTAGGCTCGCGTCCCGCCTCCAATGCCCAGGCTGGGAGGACCAAGATGGAGGGAAGAGCGAAAGGGCAAGCAGAGGAGGTGTCCCCAGGATGTTGCAAGTTTACGCTTCTGCCCCGGGACTCGGTCCAGACCCTTGCAAAGTGTGAGCTCTGGAACTTGGTGACTGTTTGCTTCTGACCTCGACGCAGAGAGCCAGAAGAGGAACTCGGCTTGTAGGCTGCAGGACGCCTGACCTTGTGCAACATTCCTGCAGAGGAGAGGGGATGAATGTACGCTCAGTGTGGGCGGCAGAGCCCGGTGCAGCCGGAGACCCGCCCTCAGAGAGGCCTGTGTTGGGATGCCAGCGCCCCCCCTGCGCACTGTCATTGCCATCTGGGGCCTGATGCTTCTTCTCTTCATTCTCCCCCCAACTCCCCGTATAAAAAAATAATGACCTCATGGGTATCTAGGAGGCTGAACGAGCTCAATAAACAGCAATCACTCATTATGCTTGCCCATCTTCCTCCCAAATATTTGTCGAGTGAATGAATAGCAGCCAAGGGAGAAACTTGGGGCGATGCTGGTGGCCAATGGTCAGTTCTGCTAACAAGATAGGAAGGACAAGCATTCCAGAGCTTTGTCTTTCCTTCATAAGCTCCCTAACAGACTCCCAGGACAAGGACTCAAGAGGAAGCTATGTATTGAGGTCACCCGGCAGAGCTTGTCAAAATGAAGTTTCTGATCCAGTAGGTCTGCAGTGGGCTTCGGAAAAAACCCTCCATTTCTAACAAGCTCCCTTTGCTGCTGGCTCTTAGACCTGAGTCTTGGGTAGCAAAATCCTATTGGATGGGTCTGAAGCAGGAGATTAAGGGATTAGAACAGGGCACAAACAAGTCCTTGAGACAGGATCACTTCCTTACTAGTATGTCAAGAGACCTAAGAATTGGTTGGGTCAAAGGGTTTCTTGGCAATTTATGATTCCTGCAAATGATAAACTTCTCCTTCCTCTCCTTCCCAGTTTAGACAGTCCTCCTCCCTCTAACACTGTGCAGACCCATCAGTGTCCTGGGGGGCACACCCCCTTTTCCCTCACTAGGCCTTTTAGCATTCTTTATGTCTCAGGTCTTGTTTCCTCTAGGCTATTTATTTGTAGAGACCAGTTCTGCTCTGCTGCCACCATGAGAATAATTAATCATAATGTTGACCAAGGAAGTCAATACAACAACCTGAAAGTCAGCAATTCTAAAGTTGTCTTACACTGTAAATTGGGATTCTATGATTTTCTTCGACTTTTGACTAAGAGCCTTGTAGTCACATGGGGCAGAGAAAAGCAGGAAAATGATGTTAAATAGAAGAAATTAATTCCTTGGACAGCTGGGTTCAATATACTCATTCACTCTGTTATAATGATGAACACATTTAAATTGTTAAGTTCATAATCCCCTTTACAATCTACAAGAACTTTTTGGAAATATGGGAAGCACAGAGTGGTTACCATGGGATAGTCTTAGGCTTCATTAAAGCTTGTTTGGTTTGTAAAGGTAATCTATAAAATATCCCTCCTGGGTAAAGTTGACTTTTATTTAACAAATATGAATTGAACTTACTATGTTTCAAATACCTTCCTAGGAGTACAAGGTTAATAGGAAGATTAATGAGAAGCCTTCAGACTGCTAACACTCTGGCCCCTCTCTACCAAGTTCATAAAACATATTGCCAAAGCCTACATATAAATGCATGTAATTTCCTGAGCTACAGGACTAAAATAAAGATTCAAATATGAATGAATAACATGTTTCCATTTCAGAAATATTCACACATTTTTATATGTACATATATATGTTTTACATGTTAACCTTCCTGAAAATTAAAACTTATAACTTCGGTAAGCTGATCCTGAGTATATTTTTTTAAAGATTTATTTATTTATTATTTATGATAGACACACACACAGAGAAAGAGGCAGAGACACAGGAGGAGGGGAAGCAGGCTCCATGCTGGGAGCCCGATGCGGGACTACATCCCGGGACTCCAGGATTGCACCCTGGGCCAAAGGCAGGTGCCAAACCACTGAGTCACCCAGGGATCCCCTATATTTTTGAGTAAATCATTTATTTATTCCTCTTATCTAGAGGAATTATACAAAAATCTTAGAGATTTACAGAACCAAAAAAAAAAATCAGTTCAACGTGTATCCATGGAAACTTAACAGAAAACAAAGAAGAAGAAGAAGAAGAAGAAGAAGAAGAAGAAGAAGAAGAAGAAGAAGAAGAAGAGGAGGAAGAATTTGGTATGTTCAGTTCTATAGAGGAAAGCTGGCTCTGCTTCCCACCAAGGCTCACAAAATGACGACTTCTGTAAACATTGGAAGGTATTTGGGCAGCTAAAAAGAATGGCAAATTTCCCCAAGATATATGGCCATAATGTAGCACAGTATGAGAAAAAAGGCATACGTAAAGAGTAGTGGAGAAGAGATGACTTACTTATAGACTGAGATGAGGAAGGATATTCACATTAAATTTCATGAAGGTCTACAAAAATGGATAGGATTTGGAATAGGAGGAACTGGGAATGGATAACGATATTGTTGCTAGTTTTGAAGTGTATTACACAAGTGTGTATATACATATAACATATGACATAAAACATGAATATATAAGCACATATATAATAAAGTCAAATTGGAAGTGAAGTACGGGGGACATAAAGCAGATGAATAGGAAAACTGTGGTATTAAGACTTAGTTATTTCTGAAGGAGCGACTCCTTCAATGGGCAATCTTTGCCCTTGGAACTCTCTCTTAAGTTGATAGAGTCTTTCTCAGATTGGGCCTAAACCCAGTAATAAAAAATAACATGGGAAAAAGAGAATAAGGCCAGATAAGAAGAGGCCTTGAATGCCCTTCTAAGCTTTCAGAACTTGATTCCAAAGGAAGTGAAAAGCCATTGTAGACTTTTGACCAATATATAGAGTGGTGTTTTCCTAATAACATTACATTTGTTTTTATTGCCTTATAACAAATTACCATGAGTTTAGTGGCTTTGACCAATGCACATCCATTGCCTCATAGTTTCCATGGAAAAGGAGCTCAGGCACAGCTTCTGATCACACCAGGTGACAGTTGAGATGTCAGATTACAATCTCATCTGGAGACTCAACCAGAGAAGAATCTGAATCCAATTCATGTCCTTGGGGATAAATGACTAAGGACCCTCCGGTCCTACAACCACCTGCAGTTCCTCGTCACCTGAGCCTTACCAAAGGCCTTTCATATGGAAGCTTACTTCTTCAAAGCCAGCAAAGAGCACCTCTCTAGTGGGTGCAAGAAAGATCGAGTTATATAGCTGGAGATACAGATAGAAATAGATCAATCCATAACCTAATGAAGCGAGTGACAGCCCATCACCATTGCCATGTTCTACTGGTTAGAAGCAAGTCACAGGTTTCACATGCATTCAAGGAGAGAGACTTATACAGAGTGTGGCTCGCTGGGCAATCACTGTAAGGTGTGTCAGCCACAAAAAAAAAAAAAAAATCAGTCCAGCAATGCATCAGATACACTAGGTGGAAAAGACAGAGAGGCACAGGACAAATGAGAAGTTTTCATCATCATTGTCTTAGCCAAAAATGTATAATTATTACGAGAAATGAACCATAAATGGAACCCATGGGATAAGGGTAAAAAATGTGAACCTGCTATGTTTTAATGATCGGAGCATTAAACAAAAGTTAAGTATTATCCTGTCTTTAGGATTTAGTAGCAATTACCCTGCAACACACCAATACTTCCTGGACTTCCTAAGTTCCAAGCTAGTTCTCTAAAGGGAAGGAGGTTTGTTCCTCTATTTTACAAATCTCTGCCTGGTGGTCTCCCTGGCCTCATTACTACTGTCATTTCCAGAAGATTTCACATGTGCTATTATTTTTTTCCTATGGATTGTAAATCTGTGGTTTGGTGGTCCCCACAAGGGCCTAATATTTTGCTAATTCTGTCCTTTCCTTATGGACCCTATTAGCCTAAAAGTCATGTCACGATAGGAGGCTTCGTGTTAGTACTGGGGGTCTTCACACTTTATCATGTCATAGCAGAGTAGTAAGTGATCTCAGCATCGTTTTGTGTAATTATAAATGTGTATGAGTTTCCGTTTGTACTTTCTCACGTGATTTGAAAGTCAACTCGGGTGATACTTCTCTTTTTTTCCTATCTCACGACTTCCACTAAATCAAATTATTTCTTCTTTTTTTAAAAAAAAAGATTTTTTTTATTTATAGAGATGCAGAGAGAGAGAGGCAGAGACACAGGCAGAGGGAGAAGCAGGCTCCATGCGGGGAGCCTGACGTAGGACTCGATCCAGGGTCTCCAAGATCATGCCCTGGGCTGCAGGTGGTGCCACCGGGGCTGCCCCAAATTATTTGTTCTAAGTAACAGAATGTCTTTTTCTTTTTTTTTTTAAAGATTTTAGTTATTTATTTATTTTGAGAGAGAGAGAAAGCGAGTGAGCACACAGAGGGAGAGGGAGAGGGAGAGGGAGAGGGAGAGAAGCAGACTCCTTGCCAAACAGGGAGCCTGTTGTGCGGCTCGATCTTAGGACCCTGGGATCATGACCCAAGTTGAAGGCAGACACCCAACCAACTGAGCCACCCAGGCACCCCCAGAATGTCTTTTTCTAGAAATATCTTTATTTGCTCCATACTTAGACCTTTTAGGAAGGAGTAAAGATGTTAAAGTTGGGAGTGCTTGAGCTCCTTACGTGTAAGGATGTGGGGGCTCCTCACCAAGCTACTAAGATCAGCAAGAGGATATTAGAAGGA